CCAGTTTGATCCGGAGCTTGAGTTACTGTCTGTGGTGAGTTTCTTATGTTCTCATGTTGGCAAGGGTTTCTTCTGGGTCCACCGGTTTCCTCGCACCTCCAGTAGGTGGATTGGCTTTGCTAAATTGCCCTAGGTGTGTGCATGTGTGTAAGCATGGTGCCCAATGATGAACTGGCGTCTCATTCAGAGTATGTTCCCACCTGGAATAGGCTATGGATCGACCTTGATGGGCTACAGATCCACCATGACCCTGATCAGGATAAAGCAGTTACTGAAAAGGAGAATAAATTAAACAATATACTTACAAAGTTAGTGTATCATATAGTGTACACAAAGCAAAAGCCAAAACAAGAGTGCCAAAAGAAATGGTTGTGAGTTTTTAGCCCTGGGTTACCAGCAAGCAACTGTTGGGCCCTCAAGCAATCTTGGATTGTACATTGGATAAAGTTCAGCAATATAGCAGCATGAGTATAATGGTATTTATATCACTGTGTCTTCATCAGTTTTGCTTGGCTGTCCTACGCCAGTGTTCTCTCCAGCTGACAGCACCTTAATCTCTTAAGACATCAAATGTGAAAAAAGTGTTTACTCTGCAGGATCCTTTGCACTGTCTAGTCTGAGCTGTAATGTACAAGATGTAATGTAATGTATAAGAAAATGACTGAGAAGCAACATACAACAAACTGCAGGCTACGGTCTTTATTATAAGCTTGACTATATACCGTATGTGTTTTTCCAGTGTTGCCTTGCAGGTATTTGCCCTATCAAATCATATTTGTTGTTATTTTGCTATTCTTTTCCAAGAAAGCTTGCTTAAGATTGCTAGTTTAAAGGGAATTTTTAGGATGCCGGAAAAGTGTGGCCATGAACAGCACCACTGGTAATATACCATACTCTTAGAAGAAAAAAAAGGTTCCTCTGAGGGAAAAGAGTATTAAACTTTAACTTTTTGGGAGACCAAAACTATACAAAGAACTCCCTTGAAGAAGCACATTGTGGTACATTGAAGCTCATAGGTAATGTAGTCAAAGTGGATGTAGTTAGTAATGAGTAGTTCAGTAAGCCTGGTTAAAAACAGTAAATAATCTGCTACCTGTGTAATTGTATCCGTGCATTATTGTCTGTGGGGTTTGCCAAGGTACTTTCAGGAGAACTACTCCTAAAAGACAGTTTCTTTCTTTTTAAAAAAAGCTGCTGGTAGGTTTAAGAACCTACTAGACAGGACACATGGGAGACAGAGACATTTGGAGGTGTGTGCTGAGTCAGTTCAAGACAGAACATGGCCAGAATCTATAGTCACAAATCCATACGTCTAAGGTAGGCAAAGATCAGAACCAGAAAAGGCTACAAATTAACAGAAAACTATACCCAAGTAAACTTCACAAATTACATCCTAGTTTATGTATACATTTAGTTGAAGTGAAAAAAATATATCAGGCAGATTCTGTAGATATTCTTGCATTTTTGCTCAATCAGCAATTAAAAAAAACCTTTGTGGTAACTGTTATTTTGGTATCAGTAAATGGGCAAGATGCAAATTCTAATCCTATAAAAATGGCAGCACATTGTGCTGAATTTAATGAAAGTCAAAGCCAACCAGGATGACCCTCACTAATTTTTCTTGCTCAATCTAATCTACATATTAAACAGAGTTTAATATGTAGATATTATGAGACAGAGTTTAGCTCATGCCACTGATGGAAAATCCTAATCTTACACTTATCCGTGGTGGTTACTGAATACTAAGCAGCTATTAAGGATACTGGGGTTTCAAATGCCACAGTCTATTAAAACACCCATGTCCTGGTTCCTGGCAATTCTCATTTCCTCTCAGGCATAAATGTATGTCATGAAGGTTAACCTGCTGGAGCATAGCTTTTTGAGCAGACTTTTTCAGCAGATGTTAGTGACTGGCCTGCACTCAATACAGCTGTCCAGCTCACATGACAACTGCTGGTTATATGAGTTGAGAGAAACAGCTTCAGTCAACTCACCACTGGTGTGTAAAGCCTGTGCTTACATGATTCTATGTTCTTAATGACCAATCATTAATTACCATTGTTTCCCAAAGGCTAATCATTGATTTCCATTGTTCCCAAAGACCAATCCCTGATTATCACTGTTTCCCAACAACCAATGATCACCATTGTTCCCAATGTCCAATCACTGATCGCCATTGTTCCCAATGTCCAATCACTGATCACCATTGTTCCCAATGTCCAATCACTGATCACCATTGTTCCAAATGTCCAATCACTGATCACCATTGTTCCAACTACCAATCACTGATCACCATTGTTCCCAATGTCCAATCACTGATCACCATTGTTCCAAATGTCCAATCACTGATCACCATTGTTCCCAATATTCAATCACTGATCATTATTGTTCCCAACAACCAATCACTGATAACCATTGTTCACAACAACCAATCACTGATAACCATTGTTCCTAATGTCCAATCATTGATCACCATTGTTCCCAACTACCAATTACTGATAACCATTATGTGTCCCGTCCATACACTTCGTTGATCTTTATTTTAAACTCTCATCTTTTATATATTTACAATCAATAAAAAGCTAGTTACTCTACCTGTAACCATTTCCTTCATGTCTATTTTCCAAATATTCACTACCACTGCTTGTTTTCATAAAAAAAATGTGTTTTGTAAATACATAAATAGTTTGTGGTGCTATGACCAAAGCATTACCAAAGCAACAAGTTATAATTTATTATTTTGTATTCTGATAAAAAGATATTATATCCTATTGTATTCTGTTCTATAATAAAGTCTCTTCAATAATCTTCCTTTTTCATGTAACCTGTTATGCAAATGATCATGATAATTCAATTAATATGCAAATTAGTCCATGGCATCGTCTGGTGACTTCTAACGACTTTTTAAAGCATGCATTAGCTACTTTCAGCTGAAAAGAGTTGGCAACATTGATACACACCTTGGAATTGAGGATATTGTGTGACACAATGTCTACGATCCAAACTGACAGAACGTTAGCATCGAGAAGAAACGAATAGCACAAGAAACAACAAAACCAGCAGCTCTGGTCTGTAAAAGCAAGTAACCCATATTATGTCATTACATGCATCATGTGGCATCATAAATATTTATCACTTTGTAAGCAATTTTCCACTGTGTGCTGTTGAAGACTGGACAGGGTGTGACATCACACATGACCCATTCTGCTCATATGAACACAGTGTCCTTAATCAATATGCATGTGTAAAAATCCAAGAGAACTAGCAAGAGAAGCGTGAACATACTGTTTTACTTTAGCTTTGTTGTTTCCCTTTCTCATCACTTCATTATCTAGCTTTCTTCGCTATCGATTAGTGCGGGAATGACTTGTAAGGATAAGAAAAAGAGGCCAGAAGTGTCTCTGTGGACATTTGAGACACAGCCCTGCTCTCTGATCTTCATCAAAGATAACTGGATATTAATATTCAGCTACAGATGTTAAAAATGTCACCATCAAGTCAAGCGTCACCTTTGTCGTGATCTTTGGAGGGAGCCAGGTTTGATATTTCAAAACGTGTAGTTTGATTTCTAGCCTTTCTTCTTCCGTGACATAGTGAGAGGAAGGATCAAGAGAGTGGGACAGAGAGAAAGATGGGACGGCGCAGTCTCGGTTTTTGTAGATGGATTATGCAGGGACACCCTGAGGAACTCATTTACATTCCATCAGTGGAAGACGTCTGGATCTTTGTCTTTCTTTTGACTAATGTATAGATGCAGGAAGGTCTTCCCTCTGCAGCAGCTGGAGCGTTGTTTGTATTGTGCTGCTCTTCTCTGTGCAGGGATCACAGTTTATATTTATTCATCTAACTGATGCTTTTATTCAAAGCAGCTTAGGATTGAGAATAATAGAATCCAAGCAGCTGAGGGTTAGAACACCAAGCAACATGGTTTCACATGTTAAAACAAAATCTTTGTGATGCTAAATATTTGTCATTTAATAAGCATTTACCAGTGACAGATTCTCAAAATATAAATTACTAACAACAATTCATAATTAAAAGCCACAAAAAATCATATTTACTGATTAGAATGGTTTAGGCATGTCAGATCACATCTGGTTTAAATTGGATTAAATCCAAAATTACTATTCCCCTCCCATTACCCTTTATGGTCGCAAACATTTTGCCAGTGAAGCTTGACAAGATCGGATTTACTTTGTTGTTAATGTTCCTCCATTTAGTGTTTTGAGATTTTGTCGTATAAAGGCGAAAACACTGTTACGAACTGTAGAACCTTGGCTTTTCCATATGTCCAGCCCATGATGGTGTGTGCTCTTACAGGAAAATAATCAACAACTGGATAGAGTGATGTGGGTGGTGTTCCAATAATAAGACACTGAACTGTTTTATTTCTCTTATACTACAGCAGTTTACCAAAGCTAACGATTTTATTGATGAAGAAATGACACTATAATGCACCATTTATAGTTAAGTATACTGTTCGCTTAGTTACGTTCAGCCATGTGGAACATCTGCCAAACAAGTTACTTTACTTATGTTATAACAACTGTAAAGAGTTGTTCCTTTACCAGCCTCTCTTACTTTCTTTTCCTCAAAGTTAATAAGACAAAAAAAAAAAAAGCTTGTCATGTTACAGAGAAACCACAAAGCATAAATTCCTCTGTCCTGAAGATTTTTCTATCGGAAAACTCAAAGTTACAGCTTTACTTCTGACTGTTACAAAGCATTAACATTCAAAACTCCAATAATTTTAAATAAATGTGTCTTTACAGAAAACCTATAAACAATTACTACAATTTATTAACTGTTTATGTGGCGCGGCCACCATTATTCATGAAATTATTATGAAAATGCCTTACACTATATAGCTATCTCTATTATGCATTATAAATTGCTGGTAGTCCATAAAACATTATGTCACCAAAACAAGCCTCACTTTATGTAGTTTACATTTATATCATTTTATACACTGAGCAGTTTAGGGTTAAGGGCCCAGCAGTGGCAGCTTAGCAGGTTTGAACTCACGACCTTACAAGCATAAGTCCAATGTCTTAACCACTCAGCTACCACTGCCCAATGCATAGCTCATTATGAGTCTTTTTTTTCCACAAAATCACAAAATCATACCATAAACCTTTACAATTTTTTCTTTCTTGAAATTGACGTACAGTATACCTGCAGTGTTTAGCTTTGGGCTTGATGAAATTGCAAGAAACCTTGGAAAGCATTGGAAATGCCATTTTGTTACATTTATTTTATAAGACTTTACTGTTGAATAGTATCATTCAGTAACTCAGATTTCACCTGAGGAGAAACTTGTATAAATAATTTCTAAATGACTTTTCCTTCCTCAACACCTACACACACACACACACACACACACACACACACACAGTGAGCAATAATAATGATGTAATCCCAGTGAAAACATGCCACTATCAAATCCAGCTCCTGTAAATCAGTGGCTTGCCTAATAATTACATTCTCTAAAAAATATGACATCATTAAGCCCCTACCCAAGTTCCTCTCTTCAAATCCCACACCTTAATATCTTGTGATTCTTGTGGTATTGGCTCCTCATTAGGAACAGACAAGATAGATGCACTTCAGAGAAGGAACCCAGACACCCCGGGCTCATTATGTCCATGATTTCTGACAGTGAAGGTGCATGTCTTTATTACTCGTTGTCTTTCTTCCTGTCTGCGTGCCAGTGTGTTTGGAATTCGAGTCAGGTCATGTGTCTAGAGCTGATGCCAAAATACAGTACCAAGAAGCCCCAGCTGCGTGTTTGGATTCAATCTCCAGCACAAATGGACCTGATCCAGGCAACCTGCCCTCATTCTGCCTCCTCAACACTCCTCTCCACTAATGCAACACCTCCTTCACCATAGCTCGAGTGCTCAGCTGTTCTGGCTGACATTAGAGGATGTCAAAATTCTCCTGGCTGGCCTTTCTACTCCTGCCAAACAAGAGTTGCATTAACTCAATATTACAAATACAACAGATGAAAAAAGGCTTTTTTCACCTAAGAAATGATAAAATAAATCTGGAAAATGGAAAGCATAACACATTAAGATTTCTGAACTGGGTGTCATGTGACTAACACCTCTGTTAAAATATACAAATTCAACATTATTTATTATTTCACATTTGACCTCATTGATAATTCCACAATTCACTGAAACGTGACGAGCATTGGCTACGAGAGAGGGTCTTTGTCTGATAGCAATGAAGCTGGAGTTGGTATACTTATTTATAAATCCTTATACCACAGCACTGATTCTGATTGATCAGAAGAAGTTGATTCATTTTCTGTAAGAGCAGCTCCGACAGCTGTTCCAGACTTTCCAGGTTCTCTGTAACATGATAAGTGTATAAAAAAGAAAGGGTATGACAGAGCGTGATCGAAGTCTTTCCCAAACTAACAAATAATCTATACCAATAACATTCTACTGGCTAAGCGTATATTATGTTTGGTGCCTTTGCTTACCCATCATCAAGCAGTCTTTGCATGCTTTGTGAGCCACAATGAAGATTTTCTCATTCCTGTTTAACTGTGCACTGGCTGTGCCAATATCTAAAACTACACCAAGCATTAACTTTACTTTAAATGGTTAAAACACTGAAAACTAGTTAGCTCTGGAATTGTCAAGTTTTGTGGTGACCTGCCTGGGTTCATGCGGTAATAAGTTTTAAATCAGGGATCATCAGTGTATTTCATATGTGTGTGTATATATATACAGTATATGAACAAATATAGCTTCTATCTCTATTCAGTCATAGTAGTTGCTTATCCAGACCTTCTGTAAGCAAGACAGTTTATGTAGCTGGACCTTCACAAATTTTAGTTGAATACTCCTGCTTTAGATTATTTGTGCATTATATTTACTGTTCTCAATCTCTTACTGAATTAAACCACAAATGCAGCTGCCTAAGATTTCCTCTAAATCATTTTTGAGAGCATTTTTCCTGTTCTGATTATATTGAGATGAAGTATAAACAACACATTCTTCTCCATCCAAAAGGATACATGAAAGCTGCATATTGGTGAAAAAAACAACTTTAAAAAAGTTTTAAACTTTACTGAAGATTCTGAGCTTTGGCTAGACAGGATTAGACTCATTTTATGACTCTAACTTATTAGATATACCTTATTACCAAAATAAGCCCCCAGTTTGGGAGATAAACTGCAGGAGTAGTTTTAAGAAGCTGTAAATTAATTCAGCACTCGAGAAGAATTTGACCTGCCTTCAGCATTAGTTAAAGAAGTATTCCTCATAGGGGCTCCTGAATGGCACAATAGAAAAGTGTTTGTTGGGAGATTGCGAGTTTGAAACCATGATAATGTCACAGCCACCTGTGGTCAGGAGCCAAGGGAGCAAAATTGGCCATGCGCTCTGGAAAGGAGGGATGGTATATTCTCTCTCCCCTGACACTAGCAAATCCTGGGCATCCTTGAGCTCATGTATGTGGAAGAGGGCAGCTAGCACTTTCCTCTGAGTGAGTTTTGCTTCACTTTTTTTAGTATTGGCACCCATTTTGACATGATCAGGAAGAGATGATAAATGGCTTTCATTTAACGTTTTACACATACACCGGTTCCTCTTGCAGTTCCTTTGGGAGACACACAAAGGTAAGCCTTTTGTACTGAATCTGAATGGACATAAGTGACGTTTGAACATCTGCTGCTGTGACAGAGGGAGTGAGTGAAAGACTGGAAGAGTGATAGAGCAGAGAAGAAAGGGAGAAAGCTGAGAGATAGTGTAGAGATAAAACACTGACAGTCCCTCATCGCTGACTTATAGCTCATTAGCTCACAGGAAATAAACTCATATCTCTTTGGCCACACACATACATACCTATAATTAAAGGCATTTTTTATTTTTTATTAAAGTCACGCTCAGTATGGTCACATATTGCCTTAAAGGACACGCTGACACACACACAGAGGTGTTACTACTATTTATGATGGAGCAGTTGACATTAGAGGGAAAAAACACAGTACCGCTGAGGTCTTTTGAACTCTTGATTTGAAATGTTACTCATTTTTTCTACCTTAAGAAAAAAAAAAGTATTTCCACACCATTTCTACAATGGTACCCAATACCAGATACCAGTATTGGCACCATATGATATTCCCGCTTGAACGGATATTGAGTGGTTAAAACCATCTCTAATATCTTTCTTGAACAGTGTAGCTCTATCTTGTAGGAGAAAAACAAACAAAAAAAATGAAAAGATCATCCCTTGGTATGATCAGCACACCGTAGGCAGTGTGAGTTAATATGGAAGAAAAATAAGGGTCTTTTCACAGCCTGAACAGCTTATTTATCAAACTTAATGGAAAGCAATAAAAACAATATTAGATTCTTATTCATATCTAAATTAACAATTGATAGGGCTATTATTATTATTATTATTATTATTATTATT